ATGATAATGAAACACTGGCAATTAAGGTTTATAATGCACAGCATTCGACAAGAATAGAGAAAAGTTATATTAGGTAGCATGTGATAAGATTAAATATATATATATATATATATATATATATATATATATATATATATATATATATATATATATATATATATATATATATATATATATTAATAAGAGACAAGTAAATATGGTTTGTAAGGGAAAGTGTAAGTGGGGGTAGTTGGTAAGAACAAGTAAAATGTAAAAATTAAAATGATCCTAAAAATGCTTACTCTCTACATCAGGTTTTGCAAATTTAGGAAAGAAAAGGTAATAGTTAGGAAAGTTGTGTGCATTACAGATGACATACAAAAGCTCCAGTTAAGAGAAGATAATGCTCATGATTAGAGATATTATTTTAAACTGTTTTGTTACTATTTTAAACTGTTTAACAAATTGATTCAAACTGTTGTTCATTATAGAGAGTTATACTGTTATTTACCTATATGTTACTTTTTTGCTGCTTATGACGCCAACAGTCCATCAAGGTTAGCTCATTCTTGTGCAGCTGCTACATCTAATTATAGTTTGTTTTTTTTTTCATCTTTTTCACGAGAACAACTCTCTTGAGTATTTTTTGTTATTGCAAAAAATAAATGTAAAAAGGTGCTGTCTCATGATGAGCTCTATTATTTCTAGTTTACTAAATCACTAATTACAGAAATCACAGAAGTTAGGCTCTAGAGTCTTTTCTCAATTAAACTCCTTGCGGTCCAGAAAACATCCCTGTCATAGTCTCTCTCTCAATTGTTCTCCGTACTCTCGTCAGTTCTCTCTAAACTATTTGATAAGCGCTTTACTAAATCTAGTTTTCTTGCTAGCTGGAAAATGGCTACTGTTGTTCCAATTTTTAAAATCACTGGAGAACATTCTGACTCGTCTAACTATTGTCAGATCAGTCTTTCTCTACTATTAGCAAGGCCTTTGAGTCAACAAATTTCTAACATCTTGAGTCAAATAACTTACTCTCTGACTATCAATATGGTTTTCAATCTTCTGCTTCTATGACTGGATTCTTAAATGCTGTGACTAAAAGATTCTATTGTAATGTAGATGGAGGCGGTGATGCAAGGGCTATTGATCTTGACATAATTAAACCTTCCAACAAGATTTGGCATACTGGTCATCTCCATAATTCTCCATTTAGCATACTGGTTTTCTCCATATTATCCATATTTTAGCTTAGAAAATTTTTAAGATTATCTAATCATTTTTTTTCTAACCATTTTACTAAAGTCATCCTCGAAGGCCAACACTCTTTCATTTCCAGTAACTTCTTAGGTAACCCAATTTTCTTTATTTAGTCCTGTATTATTTCTTATCCACAATAATGATTATCCTGACAAACTTACATTTAAAATGGCTCTTTTTGTTAATAACTCAACTTATACTGCTGTTTTCTCTTTTTGAATTCTGAAAACAGGCAGTTGATCTTCAGTTGATTTTCAATACTATCAGCTTTCTTATATTGATAAATGACAACCCTCTTACTGAATCCTCTTTTTTATGTCTTCTTGGATTATTGTTCACTACTGACCTCTTATGACCATATATACAATCATTTGCAAAGTCAACATCTGCTAAGGTTGCTTTTCCTTGTGAGAAGCAACCTTTTCTCCTAGTGAGAAATTGTGTTTGCTATTATCTTAATCCTGATAATTTAATCCTGATCTTAATCCCTTCTCTACCTTTAAAAATCTCTTATTCGTCTCTGTATGGAATACTGTTGTCATTTTTGGGCTGGTTTATCTAATTATGCTCTTTCTAAAACAAATCATAAACGTAGTTGAACCAACTTTAACTGCCAAGTTTGAGCTTTTTCTCCTATTGTTGTAAGGTTGCTTCTCTTACTCTCTTCTCTGTTGCTAAACATATGTTTGTTGGATTGCTATATTATCTACTTCCATCAACCAAAGCTTGTTCTAACTTGACTTTTCATTTTGCATCCTTTTACTGTATGTGTCCCTGCATGTTTTAAAAACTTTCATTTCTTTTTTTTTGTGTGTGTGTGTGTGTTCTGTATCACTTCCAACATGGCTGCATACAAACCTTATTAAATTCGGAGTTTTAAAAAAAGAGTAGAATTAAAGAGCAAGGAAATAGTTGACAGAAAACTTAAAAAGTTTTCTGTCAACTATTTTTTTGTAAGTTGTATAAGAAAATCTTTCAGTTAAAGTAGTTAGCAAGTCAGCCGTAGAGCAAGAGGATTGTAAATCGTGTTGATTGTCTGACAGAAAGTAATTTGACTCAGGATAGGATGTTAAAAATTTATTGATCAAAATCTCTAAGACCTCATAAACTGATCCAATGATAGTTAGAGGGATCAGAATGATCTCAAGAGTTTTAAAAATTAAAAACACAGATGCTATTTTCCAGAAGGTAGAAAAACAAGATTCAGTCAATTATTAATTAGTTCAGAGAGAATTGAAGAGAATTCTGGAAAACACTTTTAAAAGATTATGACAGAAATGTTGTCTGGACCACATGGAGCCATAAAAGAGTTTAATTAAGATATGACTTTAGCAACGAAAGCTCAAATGATTTAAATGTCTAACAATGAGTTAACCTGTATAATTCTTCTTAGATAAAATACGAGGTTTTGTGAACTAAGAATAATGGTGCTAGCATCAGACAGCACCTTTTTACATCAACTTCTTGTAATAATAAATAGTTGTTTGTTCTCTAGATAGTTGTTTATTGAAAAAGATGAAAAAGCTGATTGCGATTAGGTAGCACCACAAGAACATCAGCACAAGAAGGTTAAAATCATAGAGTAGAAAGAGGCTTGATTTGGAACCAACAATAAAAAATAAAAGCTTCCATTCAGAATGGTCAGAACCATCTAAGGGCGAAAAAAGAGAAACCGAACACAAGCTTGGGTCAGAGATTAGACATAAATCAAGAAGTGAAGGTAACTATATATCTATCTGAGTAAAAGAATGAGAAATGGGGAAGTTATAGGCTTTAGTGCCATCATGGTTAGTGGTGTTAGAACCAAGCCATTCAGTATGATGAACATTAAAGTCACCAATTACAACAATATTTGCAGAGGGGGTAAAGAGAAAGGGCATGGTTCGATCAGGAATTACATTCAAAGAGTGCAGACTTGAGATGAAGGAGATAAAGAAGGTAATAGTAAAGAGGTGTAAAGCACCTTAAAATATGGTCAAGAGATTCAAACCTGATTTCTCAACAAATAGGCGAATTTATGCGTAAATATACGCCCAAGCCAAGCATGTGACAATAAAAGTCTTTAAAAAATAAAGGATAGTACCCATTAATACTGAGATCTGAAGAAGGAACAGCAGAAATTAAATTAGTCTCACAAAGAGCAAGCAAGTCTGGTGAATTTTGCAATGAGGTAAGATTCAACTGATAGAAAGTTACTTTGCACACCATGAATATTTGTGAAAGAAACAGTGAGGTTGCGGGTATAGTTTTTTGTGTTTAATATTTTGGTTTACTTTAGGCATAATTTTAGTTTAAAGTCAAGAAGATCTAGCATTCTTCATCCTAGGCATGAAACAATGTCACACAGTTTTAAATCTTCTTCAGCCTAATAGTTGAAAAAGGGGTGCAAGGCCTATCAACAGAATTATTCTGCTTACCCCTCAAATCTTTGCATAGGAGGTCTTCTACAATACAGTATCTGGTAAGATGAGTATTTTTATCGAAACACCATCTCTAGCTTTTACTCAATCAAGAGCCCATAAAAGGGGATTTTTAAATCATTGATTGGAATATTTTGGAAATATATTAGGAAAAACATTACATCTAACAAAATATTAGAGATTAAGGTGTGCATAGGTTTTATAGTTAGAGTCACTAGTTGGTTACTGAGCTCACACTGCATCAGCTGTTTAAACCTGATACAAACACAAACCTGTTTTGGTCTACAAACAATTCTTTATGCTACTATACACTTTTATAAACAAGGAATTTACTATTTGTTAAGTTAAAATTATGTAAATAGTCAAATTTATATAATTTATATAAATCAAAATTAAGGATTTTTAAACATAGGGTAAAACACCCGGTGTTTGCTAAGCGCCCTAGTCTTCGCCTCGTGATCTTTGAATCCTGTGTTTTTGATTTTAAAGATAGGATTTTCAAACTTTTTTGATAATGGCTTTATAAATAGCAAATGTTTGACTATCCTAACTTTAAAATTAAAGATACAGGATTTATTTAAAGATAAAGTGGAGAAGACTAGGTTGCATGGCAAACACTGGGCGTTTTACCCTATTTTAGTAGATTGGTAACTTAGAATTTTTTTTTCTAAAAATAACTTAATTAAGCATAGAATTGCTCAACAGTCTGCTTTATTTTATTTTGATGTAAAATATTATATACTCCAACAACATTTTAATGTATAAAACAACAAAGTTACATCAGAAGCTACACAAACAGCAATTATTACTTCAAATGTAATAATGATAATAGACAAGCAAATATAATAGATTGCAAAATTTCCAATTAAAAAAAAATAAAACACCTTTGACATAAGTTCTCTTTAACAATATTTTTATTTGTTTACAAATCTCTGTGTCGAAAAAGGCACAAATAAGCGTTCGCTTCGACAATAATATTGTCGATATTGTATTTAATATAAATTAATACTGTATTTAATAATATCTCACTCTGTTGTCAAATCCTCCTACAATTTGATTATTGAAATTACTATTTTCCTCTAAAAAAAAAAGACTATAAGTAGTTAGAATATTAAGATAAAAGATCTGGAGTTAACAGAATATTAATGGCCCCGACTCTAGCTTCGGCTCCTCTGAAAATGGTTAGTCCGACTCTATCCAAGTAAAATACCGCGGTCCAGCTCTAACTCCCCATTTCTGATTTTTGTACTTTTATATTTTTTTTTTATCTGTATCAAAAAAAAAAAAAGTAAAAAATGCGGATTAGGACTGAGTTGTAGGTTTTTTGAAATTTTATTTTAGGGCTCGTTAAAAAGGATATTCATTTGGCGTTGCCGACCACAGAAAAAAAAGTTGCATTTATACCTGTTTGATAGTTTTTTTAATTTTAGTAACCTTAATTTTAAATTTTAATTAAAAAAATAAATGTTAATAGTTATCTTAAGCAGATATAAAAGTGATGTAAATTTTCTCTTTATTTTTTTTTTACTTGTAGTTAATTTCATTTATCACATTAAGTATTTATTGAATTAGTTGCATTGTGCAAAAAACCTTTTCTATATTTTGTATTGTATAACTCTTCTTTTTTTGTATTGCTAATTTATTATTTCTTTTTTTTGGTAAATCCACATTTACCCAAAATATTTATAGGGTTATACTTTTGTAAAGTTTAAAGTGACTCAAAGTCATCCAAAATCATCTTGATGTTATGATGATGTTATATATAAAAACATAAAAAATGTAGTATCAAATAATTTATGCAAATATATTTATACCTTTTTTTAGTTATTTTTTTTTATACGTGACGGCTTATGTTTTTTTCCCCTTCATTTTACTACTTTTAAGTTTTAGCTCAAATTTTAAGTTTATTTTCTATGTTAATTTGGTTAATCTTGCAAAGAATGATTGGGATTCATAATTTATTGTAACCACGTGTCTTAATGGGAACAATGGTTTACTTGATTATTTAAACTAGTCGTTTTTATTTGAGAATTTTAAGTTTTAACTGAGTTTAAATATTTTATTAAATGGTTTTATTTTTGTAAGTTTCTACTAAATTCAAAATGCTTACATTCCACATCAATATTTACTTATAAAAATCACGATAAATACATTCCATATAACTTCCCCTTTTGTCTTTTATATCAGCAATTAACCTTTTAGTGGTATGTGGTGGTGGTGGTAAATAGTTCTTCCTATTAAATACTTCTTATCTGTAATATTTTCTTAGACTCCTTTCTTAGAGAGGATCCTTAATATTTTCTATAGGTAATCCAATAGTGGTAAATTTAAAAAGATTTACGTTTTACCTTGATCAAAGCATGCTTCCATTTGAGGCAAAAATCCTTGTTTTATGACTTTTTCATATCGGTACTGGTTTATATTTCCTTTAACAATGCAGAGCCTACCTATTTCCTTCCGACATGTCACTGAATAGACCATCACTATGAAATGTTAAACAGATTGAATGATGCAGTCCAGCAAGTACTTTCTCTTTTTTTTTAATAATCAAGTCTCCTTTGTTTAAACCTAGTCACAACATTTGAACACTTAATTATTTTAACTTTTCAGTTATTGCATCAATGGCTCTATTGCTTCATATTGCGCCAAACTATCTAAGTTACGCGAGAAAACGCGAGGTCAATCAATCACAAAAACCATACAGATTTTGGCGCAACACGATGCAACAGTCATAGTAACCTAAAATTTTGCATGCAACTTCCTTAAGAATATAGATGTCCTATTTAAATATACATTTCTGTATCTTGTGGCAGAGACCCTTCCCCCCCCCTTGCCCCACTCCAAGTGGTGTTGGGCCCCTTCACTCAGTAATAGTTTTCATTAGTAGCAATAAGGTACTTACTGGAATTTAGTAATGAAATCTTATATGCTTAGAAAAATTCACAAACCTTTAGGTGTTGGAGGGGGGTGTAGACTTTCCCATTCTTATTTATCCAGAAAGGGTGAGGGATTTTATATTCTTCTTTTGTCCTTCCATGTACTTTCAGCATAAATATGAAACTTTTTTTGAAATCAATCAATCAATTATATACTCTGGAAAAAAGATCTAATTTCCACGGTCATTTACAAATAGTTATAAGAACTAATATAAAGTAAAAACCTTTTTGATTATATAAAACATATTATAGACACATATAGTTACAATAATTATAGTTAATAATATAATAAGTATAGACACATATAGTTACAATAATTTTAAACGGCGAAATAAATCTAAAGAAAAAACAATAATAATAAAAATATAAACAGAAAAACACTGAGAAAACAAAACAAGTTACAACAAACATTACGAAAAGAACAAAAAATTATGCAAAAAAAAAAAAAAAAACAACAACAAAACATTTAGATTTAAAAAAACTAACAATAATAATACACGGTAGAATAAAACATATATAATAAATAGCTAAAATGAAAATAAAAATAAATAATATATAACTGGTATAAGTGGTATAAAACAATTTTTATACCACTAAAAATAAATATTAACTAAAAAACAAACAAATGACTAACAAAAAAACAATAAGTAAAACTATATACGTTAAAAAATTGAGGAACATTATTTATATGAATCGTTGAGGCAAGTCGTTAAGTCAAGAAAAATTGTGATTTGAGTTAAGTCAGCGTCCGAATAGTTTATTACTCAAGCTATTATTGGTAAAAGAGGTGTAAGTCATATTTATCATTTTCACCCCTAGATCGCATAATGTACTTGATTGTGCTTACTGAACAGCTGGTTTTTGCTTTGGCAAGAGTGGCCTAAGTCAAATCAGAACTGAAATTGACCACATTGACTACACCACCCTTGCTCTCAACGACTCATATATAAAAAAATAAATAAAAATCTTTTTTTGTTAATTTTTTTTTTTCGATTTGCCGATCGAGGTTCCGCTCTTTAAATAGTTTTTTTCTTTCTTGGCCATTCTTTTTATATATTTCATTCATTAACGTTTTTTTTTTAACTTCTATTTTCATTACTTTTTTACTTATTTTCTTTCAGATTTTATTTTCTTCTTTTTGTTGATTTCATTTTTAATTTAATTTTTAAATGTTTTCTTTTCCCTTTTCCTTTTATTCCTTTTAAAAAGTTATTTTCAACTGTTAGAAAAAAGCGTCCACCATTTGCCTAAAATTATAAGGAATATTACAACTGAAATATATAAAAAGGGAAAACTTTATTAACTAGAACTAAGTAAATATAACTAACGATAAATAAATCATTAAAAATATAATGTGAAAAAGCGAAAAAAAAAAAAAAATTTAAATAATTATAATAAAAAATAATAATTACAAACTAAAACGTGAAAATAAATCAATAACCAATCTTCTTATTCCCTTTAAAATTGTTTTTGTTCTTCTTTTCTTTCTTGTTTGTTTAATTATTTCTTCTTTTTCTTCTTCTTCTTTGTTTACTTTCTCCTTCTTTCTTTCTTTCTTTTTTTTTCTTCTTTTCTTTGTTTGGTTTATTAAAGTGTTCCTTTTTTTTAATAATTCGAAGAAAAAAAAATATATTTAGGGCCTCATTCTCTGTTCACAGAGCCTCTAGAACATTATTCTTTCCTACAATATCAGCACTGCTGTCAAGTTCACTATTGCTAAAAAGGAAAACTTTTGTTTCCTAAAAGCCTTTTACTCATGTATAAGACTAAGCTTTTTTGCTGAAGTCAGTTACTTAGCAACTTTCTTGTTGCAGCCTAAGTTCTGAAAAGGGTTTTATCAACTTTACTTTTCACAAGAAGCATTTTTTGGAGTTCTTTCTCCTGATAAGTCAGTTCATTTGCCTCCTGAACTGTCTTAACAGCTCTCTCTGCAACATCATTTACTATTGCCAAGTTTTTGACAAAAGCTTGGAAAGCCAAAAAATCGGGGTCAAGTTTCCATGCAGTAGAAGGAAGTAAGAGCCATTTGACTTGCTGTTCGTTATGTTCCAGTATATCAAAAACTAGCCAAGAATCAGGAGTTACATAATCAGCAAGAGTTGGTGACAAAACTGGTCAAACTCTTTTTTTTAATAAATCTAGCACTATTTCTTCTATAAAATATTGAAACATTTTCAGAAAACCATAATTTCTAATAATTAAATAAATTTTCTTTTTAAAAAGATTGATAAACAACCTCTCACTGATCTCACAAACTGCGCACGTGATTGAATATACCCTCGCTGACTCTTATGCTGACTTTTCTTAAGATTCAAATACCTGTCAGTATATTTTGATATATTTCTTTGAAGGGTAACAGATCCAATCATGGGAAAACCTAATCTTAACCATGGAAACCATAGTGAGCCTAAAATACATTCCTTACTGCAAAAAGAATCCACAGAGGTACACTGTACACAAAGCAAAAATAGTTTTTTCTTAAAAATCATTCCTCAGTTGCATACCAAAAATAAAATAAAATTGTCTTTACAATTTTTTTAATGAACAATGTTTAAGATGTTTAAGGAAAATATTTTCAATATTTGCTTACTGTGAAAAAAATCTTCAAAAATTATACTATATTTGTGTTAGCTTCTTCATAAAAAGTTACCTGAAGCTGTTACTTAAAGGGCAGGAAACATGTCGCTTTGTCTGCAAAGTTAGACCATTCTTCTCCTTCAGGTAGAGGAAGTGCTTGATAACGTCAATCTTGGTAGGCAGCCTAACTAAGGACATATTGATTGGTTTGCCTAAGGAGTATTCTTTTGTACGACCACTTTCTCTCCTTTTCCTTGTATGTTTTGGAATTTTCACATTTTCATTATCCAAAGGAATTTCGCCTTTGTTTTGGTTTTTCCTTTCCAAAAATAATTTTGAAATTTTTAGTTATTAGACAAATTGGATTTATAAGTTAATATAAATGCATAAAATAATTCAGGAATAAAAAAAAGATTAAACAAACCAAAACTAGATAAAAATCACTTTATACTTCCCGACTTTTTAGCTTGCATACATATCAAAAAAAAATAATTGTTGAAAAATGAACATCTCTAATCTACATAGTATATATTGCATCCAATAAGGAGACCGAGATTAGTTAGAAGAAGCAGTAAAAAAACGAATTGCGTTTATCTTCATTGCCTTTAATCAGAAGAGTGACAGAAATTACATAGACGTTACAAAAAACTTCTTGGAACATCGCTCCCTTTTTACTTTTCGAAAAAATAGTAGGTTGTATAAAAAAATATTATTGGAAATATTCCAGTCACGATTGATTTACTCAGTCGGTTTTTTCTTTACTATTTACTTCTTCACTAGCCTTTTTTCAGAATCTGTAGACGCTTTATTATTTTTTTAGTTAATCCCATCTTTTTTTTGGCAACCAATTTTCATGCGGAGGGGTTAATGAATAGTATAGAGGCCGAATTTATATAAAAAGTGTTATTATTATTATTTTTTTCTTGTTAGAATTACTTGCGCCAATTGTTTGAAGTTAAGCTTCTTGCAGTTTGTTATTAAACTTGTACAAACTTTCAAGCATTGGAACGAACCCTGATGTAGAACCCTGACAAAAAAGGCCACAAATTGAAACAAATTGATTTTCAATATTTGTAGGAGTTTTGAAAGTTTGTTCAAACGAGTAACTTCTCTTTCGAAAACTGCAATCTCATTGCGCTTGGTTTTTTATAAACTTTTCGAGACGTTCAATCTTTCTTTATTTTTACATTTATTATAATAAGTTTATTATTTTATAACTATTATAATAAGTTTTTCTATTAATAACCAGTTTGCAGTACTGTCAACAGAATCGCCATTAGATAAAGTACTGGTTGAAAGGGGAATACCGT